TGGAAGCCGAAGTTTGGCGCTTGACCCAAGAGGAGATTGACAAGGGTTGGGTCTGGCTGGACAAAGAGTGCAATCCGGAGGAGCAGTTGTTGGCCAAACGGTTCGGATTAAAGCAGGGGGAAAAGACCAGGCTTATAGACGACTGCTCAGTTGGGGGCTTCAATGGCACCTGTGGATCTAGCGAGAAACTAAAGGTCCATGCGGTAGATGAGATAGCTGCATACATAGCCTGGTGTCTCACAAACCTTCCTGATCATGCCTTCAAAGAAGTCGTGGGGAAAACCTACGATTTGAAGAGTGCCTATAAACAATATGGTGTGCACCCTGGTGACAGGGATCAGCTGAGGATTGCCGTGTGGGACCCTGAATCCAAGCAAGTTCGTTTCCTGGGCATCAACTCACTCCCCTTTGGAGCAGTTGGTTCTGTGAGCGCCTTCTTGAGAGTATCCATGGCAATTTGGTTTGTAGGTGTTTGTGGACTAGGCCTCTGTTGGACTAGCTTCTTTGACGACTACACCGTCCTCTCGAAGAAAGCGAGTGCAAACAGTGCAGCCATAGCAGCAGAAGGCCTTTTTCGACTCCTTGGCATTGACTACGCCACGGAAGGCAAGAAAGCCGTTGAGTGGGACACCAAAGTTAAAACTCTAGGGGTTGTTCTGGACCTGAAGCCGGAGCTGAGCCAAGGTGATAGCCAAGCTAGTCCTTTTGTAACTGTAGGTCACACTCCCAGCAGGGTTGCCGAACTAAGTAAGACCTTGGACGAGGTTCTGAGCGCCGGTTCACTCTCTCTTAAAAACGCCGAGCGGTTGAGGGGTAGGTTGCAATGGTTTGAAACTTTTGCTTCGGGCCGAGTCGCTCAACAGTCCTTGCGAACCCTAAGTCGTTTAGCTTCAGCCGGCAGGAAGAACGAGAACCTGAACCGCAAAGAAATAGAAGCTGTGAAATTCCTGAGGCATCGTGTGCTAACCGCTCCACCGACCAAGATCCAGGCCAGTAGTTTGGACACTTGGTTAATATTTTCTGATGGAGCTTGTGAGGGCGACGAAACCAAGGAGGGGACAATGGGCGCAGTCCTGATTAGCCCGCATGGTGCACCCATTTCTTTCTTTTCGGAGACAGTGCCGGAAAGTGTGATGGATTTTTTCCTGACCAAATCCAGCCATCCGATTTTTGAGCTCGAACTACTACCGGTGGTAGTTGCTTGTCAGCTTTGGGAAACTCACCTGCAGAAGAGTCAATGTGTCTTTTACTTGGACAACGAAGCGGCAAGAGGAGCCCTCATTCATGGCACCTCGCCTCAGGACTCGGGTGACTTTCTTGTACAAAAGTTCGTTTGGCAAGAGATGAAGTGTCAGGTGAAAGTCAGGGTCCCCACTAGCAGCAATGTGGCGGATCGTCGAGCAGACTTGACACGTCTGAAATGGATTCACTAGGCGTTCCAAGAACGTATGTGAACTGGCAGTTGGTGGAAGCGATGGTGAAGCAGTCTCCGTCGTAGGAAGCGGGGTCTCGAAGATCGGGACTTGAGACTTCTCCCCACTGCTTGAGGAAAATAGATTGCAGACGTGTTTGCTGTGTTGCTGTCTTGTGCTTTTAAGCTGTCTTACACTTGTAAATCATAGAATAAATGAGGTCTGTTGATTAGTACGAAAGTAAGCAGGTCGTTGATCCACGAACCGGTTTCCTAGTGACAAATAAGGGAGAACTCATTACAAAGTAATGATAATCCCTTTATTTGTGAACAAAGGAAAAATTTTTGTACGACAAAAATTAGGTTCGTTTTTCGGATCTGATATGGACATTTGTGTGGAATAATTTTAAAGAAGGAACATCCACAAAATGTTTTAACGCTAAAAAACATGCATTCTCGACTGTCGGGTCGTGATGCGAGCTCGCGCGCGCGCGCCTCAAGAAAGGGTGGGTGGTGTGGGTTTCACCTGCACTTTTGAGTGTAGGAGTTGGCCCCCCCTAAAACTCTTGAGTTTTTTCCCTCCCAAATTTAACGGGGTCTCGAAGATCGGGACTTGAGACTTCTCCCCACTGCTTGAGGAAAATAGATTGCAGACGTGTTTGCTGTGTTGCTGTCTTGTGCTTTTAAGCTGTCTTACACTTGTAAATCATAGAATAAATGAGGTCTGTTGATTAGTACGAAAGTAAGCAGGTCGTTGATCCACGAACCGGTTTCCTAGTGACAAATAATTGCGCAAAACCTGCACACACAGCGCCTCCACTCGTGCAAAAAAAATCCTGCCTGAGGGAGATCCGAGCAGAAGTGTTCATTGGCTGTAAAGCCCTGGTGCACTTGACGCTCCCGGGCAGCATTCGATACTTAGGGTACAGGGCTTTTGGCAACTGTGCCGAGCTTTCTCACCTTGGGTACGCTAGGAACAAATCAGAGGCATGGCGATACCCCTATGCCGTCTTCAATGCCTTTGAGGGATGTGTCAAGCTAGCCACCTCCAAGTGGCTCCACTGCATCCCGCCGAGGGATAGCGACTGGATTGCTCCCTGCAACTGACGTCAACAGCCTACACCACAATCCAAACAACAACCTCTGGGGTGTGAACAGCCAGAGTGAGCAAGGGCGGCTGCCCAAGTAGCTGTCCCTCAGCATTGCCAGGCTCAAATCTCAAGTAGGAGTTTTGCCGTTTGCCGCAACGGTTGGTGATACCTGGTCGCAAACAAGTTCACTTGTCAGCAATGAACGCCAGCTAGTGTTGCCACTTCTGCTGACAACTCTTTCTGGAGAAGAAATCCAGGTTATTATCGACCTCCAAGAGTTTGACCGTCTAGACGAGTTCGACCATTGGAGGACTCAGCACCTTTGGGAGCGAGCTTGCCTTTGTCCATAAAGACACTGGAGAAATGCTGGCGAACCCCATTTGGGACACCCTCAGAGACTGTAACCGCTTCCACCTTGTGGTTCGACAATGTTTCAGCCAAGCTGAACGCAAAGGGCAACTGAAGAGGAGTGCTAAAGCAATTCGAATACCGCCCATGAACGGGGCGTGTTACCCCATGCTTTCACGCATACGATCGATGTGAGGCATGTGCAAGTAGAAGCAGGAATACATACCATTGGCGAAGCGGCCTGGCAGCACTGTAACCGGTTGCTAATTGTTCAACTGCCTAGCACCGTAGTCTGCCTGCAAGATGGAGCCTTCTGCCGAAACTATGTACTTCACACCGTCATTGCCCCAGGGTGCAAATACTTTGGGCTTTGGGTATTCGAAGAATGCTACGCTTTAGCACTGATTGGGGATCAAAGCACTACAGTCAATCAGCTGGCGCCGCAGGCGCGATTTCGCCCGCGAGCATTCGAAAAATGCAGCACCTTGCAGCAACTCAATTTTGAAAGAACGGAATACGATCCCACTGATCTGCACCGTTCCCTACCCGAGGGTTGCTTTTTCGAGGCAGGGCTAGAGTCATTATTTTTGCCAGCAGATTTCAACTGGATGGGTCCAGCAGCATGCGAGCATTGCGCAAGGTTGCGGGTAGTTGACATCTCACAAACTGAAATTAGTGAGATTCTGGGGGGCACCTTCGTGGCTGTACGCAGCTGCGCATGCTCATCAGAGGGGGAAGAAAAATGACCTGGAGAGGTACGTATGCAGAACACGATGCATTTGACTCGTGCGAGCAACTTAAACCAACTCATGGCCAAGAAGAGTGGGCTGACTTCATGCGAAGTTGTGCAGAATCGAACCTCGGAGAAGCCTGACAACTCAAACCTGCGTCCGCGTGCAGGCTCTGAGCAAGCTACACACACCTGCCAACTGACATGCCGACACTGCTGCCTTGACTGAGTAGCTGGATAGTACCCAGGGCTGCCTCCCGAGAGGTGGTCTTGGAAGCGTACAGTGTACAGTTCTTCGAACTAGGTATTGCGGCGTTTCACTGTTTCACGTCGTCCAAGGGGCGTGCATGTTTACACGGATCCAAGTGCACTTGAATTGCAATACGGAGATGCTGAGCCGGTGGGGGCTTGTCAACAGGGTCCTGCCTGTCCATATTCCTCGAGGGCAACGCAAGGTCATGTCGCTTCGTCGCTGTTGCTCCCGTTTGCCTTTTTGGAACTGCTGTCATGGAGCGCGCTCTTGTCACCTCCTCCCCCTTGGGGGGGAGGGCCGAGGAGGGAAGCCGATTGTCTTGGTTCTTCCCGTCCTATGTCCTCTACAGGTCACGACTTTCGTAAGTTTGACAAATGCCTCCGCTGAGCATCACTTTCCCACGGCAAAGCCTTCGTGCAGGGTCCCTCGTGCTCTAGCTAGAGTGCGCTTCACTATCTTTCATTGGGATTTTGTCCACATTGGGTCCCAAACAGCATTGACCATTTCCTGCTTCAGCGGAATACGCGCAAAACCATACAATCGAAGCTCGAAGAATGTCAATTGCTACATGCTGATGGAGTCATGTGCCAGACTGATGAGATTGCTCGCCATAAACGGTGTCTGTCAGAGGTAAAGTCGTGCTCTTTGACATAAGTCATGATGCACCTCTGCACAGTGCACTGAATGCAAAGTTCCTCACTCCTGCACATGCTCAAGCACTCTTTGGGCCGACAAGTCGGTACTAAAATTGCCAATTTGGTACTCACTGCCCATAAGAAGGAAGCTCGCTACCTCCTGATCTTCTTGGACTGAGCGCTGACAGAATGAATCCAATGCCCCGTTTCACCTCTCTTTCAAGACAGTTGCTTCGGCTCTGACAGTCCTGACGAGATACGAGCCCGGTCTTTTTCGGTTTGCGTGTTGTGGTGTTTGTGGTGTTTGTTGTCTGGTTTTGTTGTGTTGGGGCGTGTTCCTCTCCCTGACTCGTATCTTCTCAGCAGCCCTATTTAATTCATTCAAGGTGACTTGTGCCTTTCGGCGCACACAGCGCCTCCACCCGTGCAAAAAAAATGCTAGAGAGGTTGAGCGTTTGCAGCTGCGAGCAGTGTGCGAAGGTAGACCCCAGGATTTCAACAATGTCCGTGCGAGACAGGTCAACAATCTGGAGCCGTTTACAGCGCTCACAGGCAGCGGGCCCCACCCACGTGAAATCTGGCGGAAGGGAGAGCGAAACGATGCCGGCTTCCAAGAAACAACATTCAGGCAAGCTTCGTTTTGGGTTGGTGGGGTCATGCTCTGTCCTTTCCAAGCCGAGGTGACGCAAAGCCGCGCATTTCTCAAAGGCTCTGGGCCGGAGTTGCGCTTGCGGGGCTAACTGGTTTATTGTATGACTAGTTGCCTGATTGTGTGCACTGAGTATGGCAGTCTGACCTCTAAGGCTGACACAATGCACAAAAGTGAACTCCTGGATTTCCTCAATGCTTGAGTTAGAAATATCTACCTGCGTAAGTAATTTGCAGTTATCGCAGGCATGTGCACCCAGCACTTGGAAATCTCAAGTTAACTCCAGTGTAGTGATTCCGGTGGAGCTCAGACATCCTGGCGGCAATTCCCCAGCCTCGTCCTGAGTCTGCAGCTCCTGGCGGCAGCCATCCTCCAGGAGGACAAAAGTGGCCAAGTTGATGCAGTCTCGAAAAAGGTGGCGTCCAAGTTTGGTTGCGCTACCAAATTGATTAACCCCTCCTCCGTTGGCTTGGATAAACTGTAGAGAACAACAGTCCGCCAAGGCTTTGTATCCAAAATCAATGCAGCCTGGTACTGTGATGCTATTGAGCAGCTGGCACCTTCGAAAGGTGTTCTCTGCAATTCGCACAACAGTATTGGGCATTCTGACCACCCGAAGATGGCGGCAGCATTGCCAGGCTTTGGCTCCAATTGCGCGTATGCCTGCTTCAACACTGACATGCCGGAGGGAATGATTCCCGCCTGGTTCATTGGGACTTTGACTGCCTGTGGGATATCTCGATATGGGCCGCTTGGGAGCTTTGGCCTCCAGGTGATAGCCCACTGGGAGGGAGCCCATGGCTCAACCTCCACCAGCGACACACCTGGCGCAGCCGGGGGCGCTCCCCTCAGGCCGAGCCGAACCAAGCAACACCGAAGCCAGCAAGCAAGTGGTAGGACGTGGAGACCGAGGAAACCATTCATTGAACCATTCATTTCTCACCACAAGCAAGCAAGCAACAGCACGCAAGGTTCAGCACCAAGTGGGCCCCCGAAGGTTCCCGGACTCCCGACTTTGCAAATCAGGAGAAGTCCAACCAAAACGGTCAGACTTGTTCCACCTTTTCAATGAACACCGAGAAGGCATGGTTGAGCACTTTGACCTCATCAAGACCGGCGTGGACGACCACTGGACCATGCAGGATGACTTCACCCAGCAAAAGACCTCAACGACTCCATGATGGACTGCAAGATTGGTCTGAACACTGCAATGAACGTCATGAACGACAAGAACAAATTTGTCCCAAAGCAGTTGCTGATGCGAGAAGGCTGTTGAAGCTTCAAACAACACAAGAGTTTTCACCTCAAGGCAGATTAGCATCCAACCCGGCAGAACGAGCAATTCAGACTGTGAGAAGGTTAAGCAACACTTTGCTGGAGAGCATCCGTGTTGGATGTGGAATCGAGATTCCCGCTTCACACCCGCTGTTTGTGTGGTCCTATGCCCATGCATCTTGGTTGTATAACAGGTTCCATGTTACACCTGGTGGCAACACACCATTTGAAGTTGTGACTTCCCGCACCTACTCGGGAAGCTGGCACCTTTCGGAGCATGTGTTTATGGACAACCACTTCCAGTCCGAAGAACACCCGACGAGGAGTTCCAACCTGGCGGAGGGAATCTATATGGGCAAGTTGATGGACTCAGACCTCAACTTTGTGTTGTCGCCAAATGGATTGTTTGTGACAAGAGCAGTCGGACGATGTGCCGACGAATGGCAACCAGAATTCCTCATGGCTTGTCATGGATTGCCATGGGATGATGCAAGCTCACGAAAGTTTGGTCCCACGACCAAAGTCGACAAGAAGAGAAGCCTGGAAAACCGAACCTTTCCTGGACTACAAGATGACGAGGCCAAAGCAGTTGAAGAGTACGCACGACGTCGAGCAGAAGAAGCCTTGGCAAAACCTTTCGGTGAGCTCGAAGGAAGTGATGAGGAGTACCTTGACGACAAGGACTTGAAGGACAAGCAGAAGAAAGAGACTGAACTCAAGAAGCCTGGTGATGGAGAACGAGAACAAGCAGTTCCATACACGCCGGAGAACCTCCCGTACACTCCGACAGAACCTCCAGATGATTGGTCATGAAGGATGCCGAGCCAGACCCGCAACATGCAGGAGGAGTTCGTGATGAACCTCAAGGCGGACTACATCCTCAAGTTCCTCAACAACCTGTTGGACCTCAACATCCTCAAGGAGAACTTCGACCTCATGGTGAACTTCCTGGAGAAGAACCTCCCACGAAGAGTGCACGAACGGGTCAAGAAAGCAAAGGTGGAATTTTCAGTTCCTCCGAGAACATCCCCATCGTCTTCACCAACGGCAAGCAGCTTAGCAGCAGCACCTTCATTCGCAGGTGGCATTCAAGAAGGGCCTTCTAGATGTGGCTTTGGACGACCACGGGTTCGTCGAAGTGGACGAATACCCTTTGGTGGACCTCAAGGACTGGGGCGAGTTCAATGAAGTTGACCTGGAGCAGGAATCTGAAGAAGCTGGACCTCCAGATGTCTCTGAAGAGATGTTGACGCAGTTGGAGCTGGAGGCAGATGAACGGCTTTGAGGGCTACAGGTTCCTGACGACCAAGACAGTCTATGACTGGAGATGGCGCCTGAAAGAAGAGACTGGCAAGTTTGGCTGGATGAGACGGTCAAGACTAGTTGGCAGAGACTGCAAATTTCTCTCTCCAGAGATGGAGAATTTGTTCAGCCCAACAAGCAATGCAATTGGAGTGAAATTGTGGGCAGCCTTGGTTCAGTCGAGCCAAGGAGAACTTGGTCTATGGGCAGTCGATGTAAAGGACGCCTACCTCATGGTTCCCCCGCAGTCTTCTACAAGGTTGGCAGGACACCCTTGGTGATGTCTTCGCACGTTGATGACCTACAGTTGGTTGGAAGCCAACAAGATGTTGAAAAGCTCCTTGATAGCTCCAGAAAGCAGGAATGCTCACCCAAGGTTGCAGGGCAATGCGCATTCCTCAAGAGGCATTTTGCTTCTGATGGATCTGGTTCCATGACTGTGAGGATGGACCAGAAGTATGTGAAGAAGTTGGTAGACTTGTTGGACCTGCACGTGAACAAGGGCAAGCTGACGCCTACAACTGGCACATTCCAGAAAGGACTACAAGGTCAACCTGTTTCAAAAGAGGAGTCGAGCCTCTACAGAACATGTGTTGGCATTTTGCTGTACATGTCAACAGAAAGGCCAGATATCCAATGTGCAGTTCGACAATTGGCTTCGAAGGTCACTGGACCTGACACCCTGGACCAGAAGGAGTTGAAGCAACTGGTGCTCTACCTGACTACCTGAAGCACACGGCTGACTACGTCCAGGAGATGAAGCAGAGCTTTGCAATGGCTTCAGCTATGGGAGAAAGGAATGATGATGTGAAGATGGCTGCAACGCAACATCCGAGCCTACTCGAAGTGTTCACGGACAGTGACTGGGCATCGGACAGGACTACAAGGAGATCTATGTCATGCAGTCACATGTACCTCAACGGCGTCTTCTTTTGGAGTGCAAGCAGGAGCCAGAAAAGTATAGCTTTGTCAAGTTGTGAAGCTGAGTTCATTTCAGCAGTCAGCGGCATGGCAGATGGGAGCTACATCAAGCGAATGTTGGAGGCCGTGTTGAACATGAAGGTGGTCTTGGAGTTGAGGATTGACAGTTCCTCTGCTCCAACGCTACTCCAACGACAAGGAGTTCAGAGAACCTGACACATAAGCACTGGACTTTTGTGGGCGCAGCAGAAAGTGGAAGAACGAGAAGCTGCAATTCGACCGGTGCCGGGAAAAGAGAACAGCGGCGATTTGGGAACAAAGAGTCACAGCAGCAAGAGATTGAGATTCTTGCTAGGCCTCATTGGCTACTTGGAGTACGCTGGTGGACCACGAGTTGGAGCCCAAGAAGAAGAAATTCGACATGTCAAAGGACTCAGACCTGAAAGAGTGCAACAGCTGACATGTTTGCTTTTGGCGGCTTTGAGTCAGCAGGGCAACGGAATGGAAGTCGAAGAGACGACCAGTAGTGATAGCGACCGTGAAATTTTCCTGATGGTTTTCACGGCAAATGGATTTTTGTTTGTAGCCATGGGATTGGCTATGAGTGTGCAAGGTTGCGACTTAGCGCTGATGGTGCTTCATTCGGCTTCGATTGGAGCATGGTCTCTCCTCACCGAGATGGGCTACCAGATCTTTCAGACTGGCATGATGATGGTGGCAGTCAATGTGGTGGTCTTCATCCTGTTCTACCTCAGGGACTACTTCAACCTACGACCTGTTCAAGGTGGAGGAGAATTTGAACGAGAAACCTCACCTCCTCAACATCCGCATTGAGAAGGAGAACAACGAAAGGTCAAGCAGACAAGGTTCAACCTCTTTGGAGAACCAGCCGGACATGATCCGGAAGCTCGCGGAAGTGATCGCGATGGAGAACTATGGGATGAACCTGAAGGTGGAGATGTCAACCACCTACTACTTGAAGGAGAAGAAGAAGGTGAAGAACAAGAGCAAGAAGAAGGACCACAATTCGAGAACCTCACGGAGACAGCCTACACTTCTGGCGGAGAACCGACGGAAGATGAGTTCACAGAGGACGCCATGGATGTGGATGATGATGACGTCATCGCGACAGTTGAAGATTGGGACCCCATTGGTCAAGAGATGGCGACCTACAGAGTTCTTCAAGATCGAGCACAAGCTTTACCTGGCGAAGAGTACTTCTTGGACGTGGATGGACGTCTTGAACGCCATGGTGGACTTGGAAGCTTGAGTGAAGAGAGTTCAGAAGAAGAAGAATCTGCAGCAGACCAACCTGCTGAAGAACCTGAAGGCAGTGGATCTGAACAAGTTCTACGTGTTGAAGGAGAACCTGGTGAAGAAGTGACGGACGCAGTTCGAGAACTTCGACGACATGCAGGCTTGCTGGAAGAGCTGGGTGAACACCCAGAGTGCTACATGGAGTGTAACATGCCTGGCATTGTGTTCTGGATGAACCCAGACACAGGTGAGATCCAGATGCACCGACTCCTCGACCTCACGATCGACACGCCTCAAGATGGCGAGGAGTACTTCATCGAGAACCCCAACTGGATGAGAGATGGTGGAAAATGGTTGCTCAGGAGGCTTCACTATGAGCCTGAGCCAGAAGAAGAGATCCCTGAATCCCCAAGAGGCTGTGGCTGGGCCCTTGGAACAAGAGAGTGAGTGGATGGACCACGCGAGAGAAAGGAGCAGCAAGTCGAGCAGGCAGAGGCAGCTGGACCGCGAAGAAGGCGCTGAGCAATCTGTGCATGTGAGCAATCACTGCTGTGGATCATGAACCTGGCAGAGAAAGCAATCAATGCCAGTGAACACCCACCTGGCAGAGAGCTGAGTGTTAGAGTTGGTAGAGGTTAGCACACCTCAACCAAAGGAGGAGTGTAACACGTTTCAGTCAAGAGATGCGTCACTAGTACCTCCATGTGAAAGCACATGTTGAGATGAGCACAAACCTGGTCTATACAGGCCGCAACCACGACAGCTCGAGAGTGAGTGAAAGGGAAGAGCTGTGTTAGATTTTTTGAATACATCAGCGCCACGAAAAATCCGTCGGGCTGTTTCAGACCCGTACCTTGTTTTCATTGACGCAGGCTATGAACCAGGTTCTGATTCATGGCCTTGTGGGATTGGAGGAATCCTGTTTTACCCAACTGGGACACCCCTGCAAGCATTCTCCTTTTGTCTCAACAGTCAAATGATGAAAACCCTGGGATCTGATCGTAAACAAACCATCATTTTTGAAGTTGAGCTTCTGCTGCCAAGGTTTGGTCAAATATCCTAGTTGACTCACCAGTTACTTTCTTTGTGGACAACAACTCTGCGCGCGACGTCGCAATCTCGGATTGTGGTCGATCTGTGGTAGTAAGCAGGCTCATTGAGCACCTCCTGATCACCGAAGTTGCGTCCGCCACTTTCCTTGGTTCGCCAGAGTGCCATCGCCTTCTAATCCTTCAGATGCTCCTTCAAGAGGAAACTGCGCTGAACTTTTGGGAACTGGCGTCCCTTTCGTTCCTGTTGAGAGCGTGGTCCAAGATATCCTCTCTTCTCTGGGTAATAAGTAATCGGGTGAATGGGGGTGAGCGTAAATCCCTTTTGCTTGGAGATGATGCGTGAGGTTCGAGCATTTCAAAAAAAACATGAAAATCCTCCTCAACAGCTACTTTGCCACGGCTGGGTGCCTGGCCTTTCGAAGGTAGGTGCACAGGTTGATGAGGTTGATTCAAATGTGATTCCCAATTCCCATTGTCACCGCGAGAAAGAAAAAGAGTGCGTTCTTCTCGCTTCAGTGGAGTTTTCTTGTGGTCGAGTTTGCGCTAAAAATTGCAGGCGTTTAGGGACAAGAAATAAGTAAACGGTCATGGAACGATGATAGTGCTTTATTTCCTGTGACTGAACTCTTGAATTTTTGTGCGTCCAAAAATTCCCTGCAGTTTTTCGATTCGTGCATATCCATGTCAGTTTTGAGCTGAAACTTGTGAGCGTGGCCTTTGGCTTCAGGGTGGGTGCAGTGGGACGACTTCATGTTTTTTGGAGTTCGTCTCCCGCCCTAACCCTCCCACGAACTCGGGGGTGAGCGTAAATCCCTTTTGTTTGGATGATGTGTTCAAAAGAAGCATGAAAATCCTCCTCAACAGCTACTTTGCCACGGCTGGATGCCTGGCCTTTCGAAGGTAGGGGTGAGCGTAAATCCCTTTTGCTTGGAGATGATGCGTGAGGTTCGCGTAAATCCCGTTTGCTTGGAGATGATGCGTGAGGTTCGAGCATTTCAAAAGAAGCATGAAAATCCTCTTCATCAGCTACTTTGCCACGGCTGGATGCCTGGCCCTTCGAAGGTAGGTGCACAGGTTGATGAGGTTGATTCAAATGTGATTCCCAATTCCCATTGTCACCGCGAGAAAGAAAAAGAGTGCGTTCTTCTCGCTTCAGTGGAGTTTTCTTGTGGTCGAATTTGCGCTAAAAACTGCAGGCGTTTAGGGGTAGGAAATAAGTGGCACTACCTCACTGCCCACGACTTAGGCTACCGGATTCTTGGAGATCGGAAAAGGTGCGTTCGAGAACGCACCAGACGGCATTTGTTTGAAGGGGAATTTTCCCTGCACCTCGTTTGTTTTTGCTTCGCCTGGCTACCAGTTCTCTCACTGAGAATCAACCATGATTTGTATGAATTGAATATCTGGAAAACTTGCACGTGGAGCCTGTGAAAAACAAAAAGGGATGAAACAACTTATGCTGAAAAACATGTTTGCTTGACTCACACAACATGTCCGACATGCAAAAACTGCGAATGAACGGCACGCAGCACTTTGGTGCTCAAGAGGTTGGAGCGATCACAAAAAGCATCTCTTGTGTTGGAATTTTACAAGCAACGTGGCGTTTCCCTACAGATTAATCAAAAAGGTGGAAGGCGCAGATTTAACGACAAACACTGCTCCAATCCGAAGTGGGAGCGTTGGGTGTGTTTCACTTTTGGCAGCCAATGTTCTGCTTTTTGTTTTTGCAGCTGGCCGTCGGTGCTTTGGGCACTGCCGCTGGCACAGTTGGAAGCAGCAATGCCAGCCAGTATTGCTTACAAGGTGCCGTGCCAGAGGACAATCTTGCTTTCGTGGTTGCATCTCTGTTGTGCTGCCCCATGTGTAGAAACATGGTTTTATTGACATTTTGACTTGACAGGATCAAAGGAGGTATATTCAAGATGACCAAGGGCGCAACATTCCTGTTGGCATGTTGAAGGGTGGTTGGCCATCAGGTGATTTGATGACCGAGATAACAATGGTTTTGCTCCGCGAAGGCCTTGGACACTAGGCACTGTTTTCAATCAAATTGTTATTTTCTGGTACCAATGAATTGGCTAACAAATGTCAACAACAATTTGAGGGATGACCTGTACAACATTTCTCGAAGGGGCCGCAAACCACCACCCGCAGACACACGTCTACCGTCTTGCAAACAAATCCACTATAAACCAAGGATACCACGCAGTGGTGGACGACAGACTTGCCACCTATGGCGCCTCCCCAATCTGGGCCTTAGCTGGCTGTGAGAACTTTGACGATGCCAGCAAGAGAATTTGTGGAGAAACAGAAACCAAAATTCATGTGGCGGTAGACTCTTGGATTGGAAGCTATGCTAAAGAATATGAGGAAATGAGGACAGCACACCAATCGATTCTTCCGGTGATTTTGAGCAGCATGGGCTATGATGGCGAGGAAACTTTGTATGTTTCGGAAGCCACCTTTGCAGCTGGCTACGAAGATGTGGGCCTGGCGCTTGACTTTCATCGAAGCTACAACAGGAGCCATCATGATCCAAAAAAGTATTTCAGTTCCACGGACGACATTCCACTCACAGAGCTGAGTCTGTGTAACGCAACTCATATGAGCAATACTGAGCGCATTAGTCAGTATTTTCGATACACGGGTGATGCAGGGGGCGTTCGGCAGCAAGCAGATGGCAGCTATTTTGCTCACTGCCCGGATGGTGTGTGGTGGCTATCCCCAGCTTGTCGGGAAAACATCTCTGGGTGCATACCGACGCTCACCTCATCGGTAGGCTGGAGGTTGCAAGCTATGATGCATTGGTCAACAGTTTATGGCATGCCAATGGCAATAGGAATCATAGGTGATTTCAGCCTCTGGGTGCAGCGTGTCAAGAGGATCTCGGCTTTGTTTTACTGGTGGGTTCCTGATTCGACATTTAGCGATCTCCGGCCCCTGCAAATTGTCTTCCCGCGCCACAGTCCAAGCGAGTGGGCCGCGGGGGACAAAAAGACCAGTGGAGCTGGATCGTTTGTTGCCAAGATGGTTTCATCCAACTTGGCTTTCAAGGCTCGCCCAGTGCAGGAGTTTGTGTCGCAGATTAAGATGGAACTTCCAACGCTTCAGGCCTTGCTTCTGAGGACTCAGTCAGAGCCGGTAGATGCCATTGCATGCCAATGGGTGAAAGAGAACGAACAAACTTGGCAGAGATGGCTTCCGTTTCAGACGAAGTGTTTCGAAGGCTTTGGAATTGTTGACACCACAGGTGCCTACGTATCAACCCGCAGCAAAGCTGCCTCTTGCGGAATATGCCAATCCGGCACCTTCTCGGATGAATTGGAGGATGAACATGGAAAGACATACCGGTGCGCTTCCTGCCCACCAGGATCCAGCCAATCTAAAGCCTCCTCTACTGCTTGTGAAGCATGCCCAAAAGGCACAGCCACTCATGAATGGGGCAGTGAAGAATGCACACCTTGTGATGTGGGAAGTTTTCAGAACCTTCCTGGACAAAGCTTGTGCAGGCCATGTGAGCAGCACCGAACAACCCGCTTGCTGGGGGCAACAAAGCAAGCAGATTGCGTTTGTGAAGCAGAACGAATTGAGGACCAGGATGCCAAGAAATATAATCGACACCCTAGGGAAGCAAATTATCCACTCATAGAATCTATGTACATATAATACACACAATCAATAGGTATATCCACATATGCATGTATATATACATATATATATATATAAGTCAGACACCTGTCACTGCAACCCCTTGAGGAAAACGGAGCTTGTATTGTGTGCATGAGAGGCATGTCGTGCCCAATTGGGGCCACTACCAAGCAGCTGCTGGTTGTGAACAGCACTTTTGTGGGTCATCCTCATCTTCAAGCCGGGTACAACAGTGATCCTTCTGCACCGCTCTCAACATACAAATGCGTAGGCTCCAGATGCCCTGGTGGTTCACCTGGAACTTGCACAGGGGGTCTTGTAGGGCCTACATGTGGAGCTTGCCCTTCGCAACAGTTTGTCGGCATCAATGAGTGCAGAGATTGTCATTTATTGATATCAGTCATGTGGGTCGCCAGCTTCATCCTCCTTCTGGCAGCGAACGTGTGCTCATACCTCCTTGCAACAAGCAAGTACACCCACAAGGCCACTTCACTTCTTTGCATCACCACCAGCTTGGGCATGCTGTTTGTCTTGTTCCAGAATGTAGGTGTGCTGCTTGACAGATAATTCTCAGGTGATTCCTTCTGTTTCTAAAGATTGTCGTCTCTACATGGCTTTGTGCTTAGTGGCCTTGTATCCTTCGTTCGTGAATAGTATTTCTGAGGTTGCACACAATGCCTATCTCGTGGCCCAATGGCTTGAGTGCCATACTGCGCTTTGCAGCTCTCTTCTTGCTCAGCTTGCAGGGCCTCGGTCTAAGTTGCGTCACTGGCAGCATTGCTTCGGAATATGTAGCTTCCACCGGCGTATTTTGGTTGCTGCTGGTCACCTTGCCAGCCACTTGACAGTATATCATGCTGCACCCCTCCGCTCAAACCTGAACCCAAAGGCAGTTTTTGCTCAGGTTCAGGTTCAGTTTGCTTTGAGTCCTCAGAGGGGCTCGAGTGCTTTCACAGTGCATGGTAATCTGTTCCGGCTCTTCAGCCCAGAAGAGTGGCTAGTGAATGGCTAGTTCAACTCCAGCCTCAAGATCTGATAGTCAACTCTGCTAAGGTGGTCTGCCTTATCACCAAGATGATTCCTTACCTTGTTCGCCGTGAGATGGCTTCTCGTCCTGACAATGTTAGCCGATGTGTCCTGTGCATGATTTTGGCCATTTTGTGTTTTCAATCCTGGCGTGTCACCAGCTTGAAGGATGCAATGTCCCAGACCACCACCTGGTAGTAAGATACAGGGACGCAGAAGGGCTCGGGTTCTTCCTTGAAGGACCCTTTGCGTGGGGAAACTGAACGGCGGAATGTACGCATGTGCATATGTACCACACATAGGTGGATATATACCTCCGAACTTAATGTCTTTGCAAGCAGTCGGTCCCCACATACATGCCATACATCATTTTAGCCAAGAACTTTCTACGAAGCGTTCGATTGAAGTGCAATGGTTTGGCTCTTCTGAACAGTAATTACTCATCGGCCTTGCTCTCTCTATTTGTGCTTCGATCAGACATGTTTCATGGCCTTCCCTGCAATCTGGGGGTGCTGGACTTGTTTGGGTGAAGATTGGTCTCCTCCCGATTCTTGGCAGCCCTTTCGGTTCTCAGGATTGGAACTTGCTGAAGGTCTGGAGCACGATTGGACAGTTTTTCCAGGTTGGCTTCACCACAATGGCCAGTTTGGGTGCTGCCCCTTTCGCCTGCTTCAAGCATCCAAGTGGGCAGGACGCTGTCACATTTGCTTGGAGTGTTTGTTCCCAGGTGTGTCAAACTGTCATTTAGCAAACAAACCTGTTGGTTCAAACGGTTGGCCTTGACATAACTCCAATGTCTTTGTTTGTATAGTTTGTGAAGTAGCCCAGACATGTGGAAATGATTAGAACTAGAATTTAGAAGGTGTTTGGAAGCGCCAAATTGCTGCGGAGTACGCAAAAGTAGCTCTGGCCCCCAAAGCACAGGGTGGGAAACAACGTGGACTTATGGTGGTGATCAAGCCGCCACGCACCTTTTTGCCAGCTTTCCTTAAGCCAAGCTAATGGCCGCGGTCAAGTCAAGTCTCATGACATGCATCCACCGTGTGCCACCGTCATTGATCCAACATCCGCGTCGCGCCTTGCAGACAGCCCTTGGAGGGGTCAAATGCTCAGACTGACTGACCAGAACACACTGGGTCGGTTGGCGGACTATTGGTTTGCGAACATAAGCCAAGATGCGTCACACCCTGTGATCTATCAGAATTATATATATATATACATCCGTTCATGTCCTGCAGTGTTCTTGTTGCGCAGCGCATTGCCTGCATTGCTCAAACCAAAGTCAACTTTGATCCTACTCCTCGGCATCCTATTCCTGTGTGAAGGTCTTTAGGGGAGCAACAATACCGAAAAAAGTGCTGAATCGATTAGCTGAGGCTGCTCCTACTGCTGCCCAAGTGGTGGTGGCACTTCAAGCAGCCGCGAGCTGAGCCACTTTCTTCTTCTCAACATCAACCTTGCAACACTATGCAACACTCACATCCCTAGAAGTAAGTGTTGACTTGACGCCGGTGAATTTGGCCTTCACTCCGGCTGAACTCCTCCCACAGCACGTTGTGGAGGCTCTTCGTCAGCCCATCGGCGTGCTGCCGATGTGTCGGGACCCACTTGAGGTATGCAGGGCCCGGTGTTGCATTTGCAGATGCTGCTGGTACGCCGCCACTTGCTCTTTCATGGCCGTTGTCAGCGCTGTGGTCATCATCTCCTGGAGGTCTCTCTTGCGCTCGCAGCTAGTGCTTCGACTGCCCCAGCAACGCCGGCTTGAGCTGCGGCTTTTGCAACCTTTCTTTCTTACCTTTGCCTTTGACAGGCTCGCGACCCCGCGATCCTTCCTCCTGTGGCGGCTGACCCTTCCAGCCTTGGGCCTTGTTGCCACGAACTTTGCCACCTTGGCTTCGACCTCGCCCTCTGCCAGCAGGCACCGAGGTCACCGGGAGCGCTGCTCCCTTGCCGATCGCCGTCGGCTGCCCGATCTCGGGTCTCGCCAGACTCTTCGTCCCCCCGGTCAGGGACGGGGGACTCGCCAGCGCCAGGCAACGCAGCGCAAAAGTAGCTCTGGCTCCCAAAGCACAGGGTGGGAAACAACGTGGACTTATGGTGGTGATCAAGCCGCCACGCACCTTTTTGCCAGCTTTGCTTGGGCCAAGCTAATGGCCGCGGTCAAGTCAAGTCTCATGACATGCATCCACCGTGTGCCACCGTCACGCAACACTCACAATTGCAAGGTTCGTTCTACCCGTGTCGCCAGGAGAGCATTTTGAACTATCCGGGCATTTTTTGTGGTTCAAACGAACAAAGAATCATGCAGATCTTTGGTGGCCTGCTCTTGTTCTTAGCGACGTCTTTCTTCGTGCTTTGTTGCTTCGCTGCCGTGAAGGCACCCAGCTGGTCCGGCACCCCGAAGCTTGGAGACAGAAAGCTACTAGCGATGGCCTCCAACGTAACAGCGAAGGGAACCTATAGCAATGACCTCCAACCTAAGAGCGATGGCCTCCACCCTACTTGTGATGGCCTCCAACCTACAAAGACTCCAATTGGTGCAAATGTCTGGTAACTTCATTGCATTTTGATTTGCCTTCTGAGGAAGCTCAATGCCGCCCGCTTCTTGGTGGTGCGATTTCGTCCTGATGTCTGGTGGTTTGGATTGATCTTGCTTGCGAGAGGGCCGTTCTTGTCTCTACCCGCCATCGTGCTTACAGGTTTGCCAGGCTTTCACCTTGCGACTCTCTTGAAATATGTGTGCACTTATGTCCAAATATTGTTCTATTTTTTGTTTTAGAGTTTATTTTCTTTTTAGGAGTTGTAGGCCACTAGGAGGTAGCTACTAGGCTAGGTAGGTAGTAGCTAGAGGTGGCCAATAGTAGGTAGATAGGTAGGCAGGCAGGCAGGTAGGTAGGTAGGCAGGCAGGTAGGTAGGTAGGTATTACTAGCATGGACACAGGGTAGCTCACTTCAAGGAAGCTCCCCCTGCCACCCGGAAGGCGGCGGGCGAAGCTTCCTTGAAGAAGCGCTCGCGCTTATGATTTGGTTCCTAGATTTTTAGGGAAACTTTGTCAGCAGCTCTTCATGGTTCTGACTGTTGCTTTGGGACCTGGAGACTCTAGTTCTTTGATTTTTAGTGACATCAGTTCAGATCTTTGATCACGTTGCAATGAATCAAGGCCACAATGGTGATGGTGTTGCTTCTTTGTCTTTGCCTGCAGACGCTTGCTTGCTTGATGTTGCTATGTAGTGGTCAGAGTTGGGTTCGATTCCACATGACTCTGACCTGTGGACTCAGAGTCCACACGTAGTAGCGTCCGATCGCTCCTAGTAGCAATCAAAGACATACTAGTAGCTTTATTGTTACAAGTAGCTTCAAAGACCGTTCCTAGTAGCGTCCTTGCCCCTAGTAGCATCCCCGCCCACAATCCGAGGATTTGGTTCTTGCCATGGAAAGCGCCGATTCTCAACCTGGTGGACGCGTTGTCGAATGGCTTCTTCGTATTGCTTTTGGCGGTCTCCTTAGCATTCCTTGAGGTGGCGTCTGAGGAGGAAAGGCACCTCTTGGAAGGAACTGCAGTCGTATTCTCCGTTGCTATGGCATCTTGGACTTCAAGTGCGAAGATGCTTTGTTGCGGGATCTCGTTGTTGAGGGCTGCCTTGTAGCAGAGCGACTTTCGACTGGATTCGGGGGGTATATAGCTTCAGGTCGCCACACACCAGGCAAACCACCTGTCCCCCAAGTAGAAGTATCCTCTTCTTGTGTATTGGCGTTGTCAAAAGATCAAGATGACAAACTGCCTGCGGGACACTCACACGTTCCAGAACTTCATTGTAAAGAGTGCGCAACCAGCACACACTCACTCGCCACACGGCAACCTGGGTAACCATTTTCCTAAGAAGTCACGCAAGGGGGTTCACGCCGAGAATCGAGAACCGAAAGGATGACGACGTCAAGCGCTCACATCTGCCGACCGGAGGATAACCTAAACAGCCTGATCAACTAGAGGAGAAAGTGGTTACTCAACATCACAACCAGATCAAAGTGCAGGTATAATATATAGTTGGCGTCCCAACTCTCTTCCAACTGATTTCCGTAGCTTCGTTGGCGCGGATAGGAAATCAGCCGTGCCCCCTGCTATAAAAGGAATGAAAATGCAAACTCAAAGGAATCCCTGTGGCCTGTGACTCCAAGCGGTTCTCACGCACGCCTCTCGTTCAGGGAGGTCTATTTTCCAAGTGACAAACTATAGTGTGCATGTGTGCGCGCAGTATGGACAAAAAGATGAAGACATGAAAAGAGGGACGAGACGGGACTGAGGTGTGCGTGAGTGTGTGTGGTTGCGATGAAGGGGAAACCAAGTGCACAGGGACAAACAGTGAACAGTACCTCATTGTCAAGACCTGGGCGACCTGAAACCTGGGTTAAAAGTAGGCGCGCGCGTACACGCTAAGGGCCGGACTGATGTGCGCAGTGAGATGACGGGACATGAAGCCGGGGAAGACATGAAACAAAAGAAGGAAAGAAAGTGTGTGTGAAGGGGAAAGGATGAAAAGGGAACCAAATGGAGGGGCCAGAAACTGACGAAGCCAGACCTCATTAAAGCGACCTAGGCAGATTTGGGGTATATGCGCTGTGTGTACTTCAAGGTTACAGAAGCATTGGTCGCTGGGACCACATTATGGCGCGCTCGAGGGCTGCCTAATCGAGACCGCTGTGATCACTTCATGGCTTGCTCGAAACTTGCCTACTCAGATTCAATAATCCGTAAAGTCTTGGCAAATAACTTTGGATTAAACCTCCTGCTGTCCGCTCCGGACACGTAGGTTCCCAAACTGGGAAACAGGGACAAACCCCCCATTCGACAGGGCGCGGATAGGAAACCAGTCTCCGTGCCCCCTGCTATAAAAGGAAAGAAAAGTGCAAATTCAAAGGAATCCCTGTGAATTGAAGGGGGTCGCACACACTCAAGATATTGCATACTGACTCGATGGCGGTTGGCCACACGCCAGCCTAAGTAAATATAGACCTATGAGTCCAGGGTAAACAAAGTAGGTTGGAGGCCATCGCTCTTAGGAGAGAGGGCATCGAAAGCAGGTTGGGGGCCATTGCTAGCAGGTTGGTGACATGTAACTGCAAAACTGACAAGGTTGGAGGTCATCGCTTTAGGTTAGAGTCTAGAGGCCATCGAAAGCAGGTTGAGGGGCCATCGCGAGTAGGTTGGTGACATGAAACAGCAAGACAGCCAAAGTTAGAGGTCAACGCTCCTAGGTTAGAGGCCATCGAAAGCAGGTTGAGGGGCCATCGCTAGTAGGTTGGTGACATGAAACAGCAAGACAGCCAAGGTTAGGGGCCAGCCATCCAATCAGGTTGAAGGCCCTCGCTACAGGTTTGGAGGCCTACCTGAAAACCTAAACACCTGTGGAACAACATCAGGTACATGAACCACCATAAAACAAAGCAAGGGGCCACCAACCAATCAACAGTTGGACTACAGCAGGTACGCTTACAGATGACCATGAAAGAGACGAGACGGAGGAAAGAGTGTATGTTGTTGCTGGTGAAGGGAAGCCAAGCGAAGAGGGACAACCAATGAACCACACCTCATTGTAACAAACCCGGCGCGCCTGAACCTAGTTTGATGTAGAACACGCGTGCGTGTATGTGCGCAAGCTAAGGTCCGGGCGAAAGTGCGCGCAAGAGAAGAAAAGGACGAGGATGACGAAACATGAAGACAGAAGGACGTGAAAGAAAAGAAGGACAAGAAGTCTGTGGGGGCCAATGAAGAGGGAACCAAATGAAAGGGGACAAAGCGATGAAAAGCCGAACTTCATTAACACACCTGTTGCAAACGCCTAGATTGTTTGTAAGGCGCGCTGCGCACGAGGAAGGAGGGGAAGGGAAAGAAGAAAAGGAAGAGGAAAAGCAAAGGAAAAGAAACGAAGGTGTTCCCAGGACACACCAAGACAAGAAGAGAGGGGCTCCCAGTTATGACGGAAGCATCCAGGGGCACCCAAACAAGAAAAAAGGGGATGCAAAAGGAAAGAAAAGAAAGAGAGAGAGAGAGAGAGAGAGAGAGAAAGAGAGAGAAAGAGAGAGAAAGAGAAAGAGACAGCGAGAGGAGAGAGAGAGAGAGAGAGAAAGAGCAAGAGAAAGAGCAAGAGAAAGAGAGAAAGAAAAAGAGAAAGAGCCAGAGACGGAGAGAGAGAGAGAGAGAGAGAGAGAGAGCGAGAGACAGAGAGAAAGAGAGAAAAAGAGAAAGAGAGAAAGAGAGAAAGAGAGAAAGAGAGAAAGAGAGAAA